CCGCGCAGCCAAGGTCGCTCATCACCAGCGGCTTTTTCTCCCCACCCATTTCCAGCCACTCCGTTGCACCCACGCCGTCCGCAGCCGTCCACGCAGTTCTCCGCACCCATTTGCCGTCCGCAGCCGTGCGCACAGCCAAGGTCGCTCATCACCAGCGGCTTCTTACTCCCCACCCATTTCCAGCCACTCCGTTGCACCCACGCCGTCCGCAGCCGTCCACGCAGTTCTCCGCACCCATTTGTTGTCCGCAGCCGTCCGCGCAGCCAAGGTCGCTCATCACCAGCAGCTTCTTCTCCCCACCCATTTCCAGCCACCCCCTTGCACCCACTCCGTCCGCAGCCGTCCACGCAGTTCTCCGCACCCATTCCCCATCCGCAGCCGTCCGCGCAGCCAAGGTCGCTCATCACCAGCGGCTTCTTCTCTCCACCCATTTCCAGCCACCCCCTTGCACCCACGCCGTCCGCAGCCATCCGCGCAGTTCTCCGCACCCATTTGCCGTGCGCAACCGTCCGCGCAGTTAAGGTCGCTCATCACCAGCGGCTTCCTCTCCCCACCCATTTCCAGCCACCCCCTTGCACCCACGCCGTCCGCAGCCGTCCGCGCAGTTCTACGCAACATTTGCCGTCGGCCAGCCGTCCGCGCAGCCAGGTCGCCCCCGCATCACCGCGGCTTACTGCTCACCACCCATTTCAAGCCACTTCCGTTGCACCACACGTCCCGCAGCCGTCCACGCAGTTCTCCGCACCCATTTGCCGTCCGCAGCCGTCCGCGCAGCCAAGGTCGCTCATCACCAGCGGCTTCTTCTCCCCACCCATTTCCAGGCACTCCGTTGCACCCACGCCGTCCGCAGCCATCCGCGCAGGTCTCCGCACCCATTTGCCGTCCGCAGCCGTCCGCGCAGCCAAGTTCGCTCATCACCAGCGGCTTCTTCTCCCCACCCATTTCCAGCCACCCCCTTGCACCCATGCCGTCCGCAGCCGTCCGCGCAGTTCTCCGCACCCATTTGCCGTCCGCAGCCGTCCGCGCAGCCAAGGTCGCTCATCACCAGCGGCTTCTTCCTTTCCCATCCTTTCCCTTCCTGTCCCTTCCTTTCTCTTCCTTTCCGTTCCTTTCCTCCCTTTTCCTTCCTTTCCCATCCTTTCCCTTCCTTTCCCTTCCTTTCCCTTCCTTTCCTCCCTTTTCCTTCCTTTCCCATCCTTTCCCTTCCTTCCCTTCCTGTCCCTTCCTTTCCCTTCCTGTCCCTTCCTTTCCCATCCTTTCCCTTCCTTTCCCTTCCTTTCCCATCCTTTCCCATCCTTTCCCATCCTTTCCCATCCTTTCCCTTCATTTCCCTTCCTTTCCCTTCCTTTCCCTTCCTTTCCCTTCCTTTCCCTTCCTTTCCCTTCCTTTCCTCCCTTTTCCTTCCTTTCCCATCCTTTCCCTTCCTTTCCCTTCCTGTCCCTTCCTTTCCCTTCCTGTCCCTTCCTTTCCCATCCTTTCCCTTACTTTCCCTTCCTTTCCCATCCTTTCCCTTCCTTTCCCTTCCTTTCCCTTCCTTTCCCTTCCTTTCTTCCTTTCCCTTCCTTTTTCCTTCGTTTCCCTTCCTTTCCCTTCCTTTCCCTTCCTGTCCCTTCCTTTCCCTTCCTTTCCCTTCCTTTCCCTTCCTTTCCCTTCCTTTCCCTTCCTTTCCCTTCCTTTCCCTTCCTTTCCCTTCCTTTCCTTTCCTTTCCCTTCCTTTCCTTTCCTTTCCCTTGCACCCACGCCGTCCGAACACCACCGTTCGAGCCAGGTCGCTCCCACGCGCGGTTAAACAACTAAACGAGAACCCAAGCATCGAAGATGCTTTTGGGAACAGACATGACCGGCCCGTTGTACATCTACACAGCGCTTGGCGCAGCTGACAAGCGATGGCTGCAGGTACCTTGAGTCTCTTCTGGGGCTTCGAACTTTACCATCACGATGATCTGACCTTTGATCCCAAGCGCCCGAGGGGAGCTTTCAACTCCTACACTGCCTTCCGGAAGCGTGTTGAGGAGGGAAGTGCTGTGAGAGCCAGTCACTTAGAGAAGCTGGGGCTGGATCTTGGGAGAAATTGTCTCCCCCGAACTCCCTGTGGAAGTTTGAGAAGTTCCGGTAGCAACCCCAAAAACGTTAGAACAAGTATAGAAATTGAACCGTGTTAGTTGAATATACTAAACCAAAAACATCCAAAAACATCCAAAAACTTGAGGACTCCATCCTTCAAGATGGCTGCCGTACATTGGAGCCGTGGAGATGCCGAGGTGAAGTGACAGCAAGCCCAGTGCCAGTTATAGCATGTTATAGCCATTAAATGCCATTCATGATAGGGATTTAACCAACAACAATGGTGATTTTTAATAGGGATATGAATGGTGCTTTAATGGTGATTTAATGGTGATTAAGCCTCTGGTAATGGAATATGAATGACTTGTTGGTGGTGACTGGAACCATGGAATGGATTATGACTTTTCATTAATATATTGGGAACGTCATCATCCCAACTGACGAAGTCATATTTTTCAGAGGGTAGGTTAACCACCAACCAGATGATAATTTATTGATAGCCATGATTTATAATTGATGACAATTGATGGTTGCAATATGATAATTGGCTATACTTGATAATCAGTTATATTAATGATTGATGGTTGTAATGAATCCTAGCCATGATAAAAAACCTCATGATTTTCATGTATAGCCAGGAAAATAGCCATTGATGATTGTAATATAGACTTATGACTCAGTTTGATAGAAAATATGCTGGGTTTTTCTAGCAGTTGTACCCTCTGGTTATTTGTTACATAGCCATGGGAAATGACCCAAAGAAATAGATGGTTTACCTATTAATAGCATGGTGATTTTCCATGGCTATGTTAAATAACCAGATGGTAATATAAATACCCTGTATACTGTAGCAATTCCGACTCAGCCGATGCCAAACATATCTTGGACTGGAAATGATGGGGAAAAGCCTCATCGAAAAAGCCCACTGAACTTCCTGGTGGCACACCGAACTCGGCGTCTTTGGGGGGGTTACAATCGAATGGGAATCTACAGTGAGATCTATCACAGTGGCAGGTGTGGCTTGAAAAGCCCCAAAATCCCCAAAGTTGGATGGTTTAAAACACAAGATGCCTGAGTTTGTGGGTCTAGATGAGCGTTGGGATAAGGGGCTTTTCTAAATACCAAGCACTACTTGTTTCAGCAGAACTGAACCAACAGAAAAGGGAATCTATAGTTGATTTACATCAAGTTGCTTGAGAACTTGGCGGATAACTGCTGGGTCTGTGATAGACATATCGCACTTGTTTCGGGGCAACATAAACCGAGAAACATCCAATTGGCCCCCAGGACCTATGGATTCGAATTCAATCATCTAAATGGGTATGGGTCAATACCTATGAAAATACCATTTTAATGGGATGAACATCCATAAATCCCAGCTATTTTGATGTGAACTACAGGGGTACTATTGGTTTTGACACACTGCCAAATGTGGTCAACACTAAATCCCAATGAAACAGCTGGTGACCTCACCCATTCTGTTGGTTACATCACTTGGGTTTGCTGAGTCGATGATCTGTTTTTGCAGGTGGAACTGATCGCTTCAAGCTGCGACTGACCACGCTTCATCCGACTAAGTAAAAACACCCCAGTTAGAACCGGACCAAAGCTGCAACTGTCCACTTGGCTTGCTTCATGGTGAAATAGCTGGACTTGACTGACACCGAATTTCATTGGGGTGAACAACTTGTAACCGAACTAAGCCATGAATCCTTGGGGTGTCACTTAAAGCAGCCACAGCAGAGGTGCCCAGCCTGCAAAAAGTCATGGGCTCCGCGTATCGCGCAGATCTGGATCCTGGAGAAGAGCAGGATCCGCGAGCCGATGCTGGGCCGTGAGTCGTCTCGGTGTTTTTTTCTTGGGGAACACCGGGAACACCCGCCATGAACCTGCGGATTACCGTCATGTTTTCACATACACATATTAGTCTATGTTTATAATGTGCATATATGATCATATATGTATATATGTGTAGGTACACACTATATTTAGGTACACATGATATTTATGCACGCAGGATATGTGTTTCGGAACCTCTTAAATCTTGAGGGAATACTTCAAATGCATAGATTCAAATCACCACACGCCAAAGAGCCCCAACCTTGGATGGCTATCCTTAGGAAATCCGCTGGGTTGGTGGAGAGACTGCGGCTTTGCAACGCGTACCTCGGCTGTTTTTTTTGCAATCCAAGTTCGAATATTTGAGTATTTTTTTTTTCTCTCTCTCTCTCTCTTTCTTTTTATCTATCGATCGATCGATCTATCTAATCTAATCTAATCTATTCTATTCTATTCTATTTTATTCTATTCTATTCTATTCTATTCTAGCTAATCTATTTAATGTATCTAATCTATCAAATTTATCTAATCTATCAGTCATTAGGTTTATTTCAATATAGATTGCATGCACCATGCCAGTTTCAACGCACTCCACAACACATTCAGAGCTTTGTGCATCTCTTTTAGTATTTGTATGTTACCAAAAGCTATTACCGAATCAACCCAATAGATTGAGGTACGGTAGACTCTAGAGTGGATTACCATTTTGAATATAACTTTTGCCGCAGATCATTTTACAGAGTTTTTGTGGCATCCCATGGCTTTTCGTTTTTGGCATCCTGCCATGCGCATGGGTCAGTTGCTATATCTTGCGCTATATCTTCTCATTGGTGAAATCCATACTTTGCTCCAAGATAGCCAGGCTGGGCCAGGCCATCAAACCGCTCCTGCAGGTGCAGCAATATCTCTGGGACGAGGATTCTTTAGGCCTGGACTATGTGGGTGCCACCATGACTATGGACCCAGCCAAAAGCTGCATGCGTGACAGGGCCATGTCCAAGTTTTCACCCTGGCTGGCGCATGGCTGCCTTTCTCCCAGGAAGTTGTATGAAGAGACTGGGCAGAGTTAGATTTCGGGAATTTCTGAAGAATTATATGGGACTTATGGGAATTATCATAGGGGAATTAGTTTGAATATAGTGAACATTTGTATGCCACTCTCGAAAAATAGGGGTGTCATAGGATTTCTGCGAACCTTATACGAAATTTGGGGAAGTGTCTGGAATTTACTACCAAATCATGGAGATTTGCGGCTGTCAGTGCTCATAAACTTACGCTACCTTCTGGTAAACTAACAGTTTGCTATTGAACATTGCCATTTATAGTTGATTTACCCGTCAAACATGGTGATTTTTCCATAGGCATGTGCTTTGTGCTTTGACGTTGTCACTACGGTCACGACGAAAAAGTGTGTTCAACTTTGATGTGACGGCCGGTCTTGGGGACACTACGCTACTCTAAATCATGGAGATTTGGAAATGGTTTTCCATAAACAAAGACACCTATATAGTCAGCTCCAAAAGATGCAGAGAAGCAACATCCTACTGAAATAATGATAACATGTTTTTCGACCGTGTTGGGGTTATCTATGCGGGATTTTCTATCAGATCAGATTTCACCATCAAAGAATGGGGGCGTCCCCAAATTTCCATGAGTGGAGGATCAGCAGAGGGGTATACGGGTGTGCCCTCCATTCCAAAAAAACACTGGTAAATGACGGTAGATGGCGTAGCAAAATTAAAATAACCCATCTATTTACCCAAAAAGGAAATCATCGGGGCAGAGAACACTTTGATGTTTGACACACCGGCGAGCTAGGAAGGTGTTGCAACATGTTGCAACATGTTGCAACATGTTGCAACAGCCTATGTTGGACACCAACCATTCTGGTTCGATCTTGGTGGCGCTTGGGGTTCCAGTTCCATTTAAGTATGGAGATATAACCATAACCATCCAGAATCCGAGTGATAGGGGCTGGTTATATCCCGACTTATCCGGGTGATCTTCGGGGGATTCAGTGGATGACCGTGACCCCTGTTGCGTGGTGGGTATAGGTTGATTATAGGGAGTCCTTAAGCTTGAGATATTGGGGATTAGCATCCATTTTTACTGGGAATCCCGTTCTTAAGCTACCAGTAAGTGGAATGACAGGTTGAGTAACCCCCATACATATCCTCATATTGTTGATTCTATTCCCCTCATATCCCATTTAATCCCGTCCGCATATCCCCAAGTTGAAGTGCAGCTCCCGTAAAAACATCAAACTCATACAGTGACCACCATTTGGCAACCAAATTGGCCAATATTTTCAGCCTGTTCATCTTGGTCAAGAGAAAACACAACCTCCAAAGACTTAAGACATGGCTGGCCACTGGGAAATCCCCTCCAAAAATGGAGGCTTCTATATACTGTATAATATATAATATATATATATAATATAATATATATAATATATATTATATAATATATATATAATATATAATATATATATATAATATGTATATATAATACAATATATATATACATATATATAATATAATATATATATATATTTATATATATAATATAATATATATATATAATATAATATAAATATATAGTATATATATAATATAATATATATATATAATATACATATATATATATATAAGAAAAAACACATTGAAGTAAGATGGAACATTTTCGACACCGGATATTTGTCCTGTTACTTCTCCTGAAGGGCGAGATTCTTCACCGGCGCCATATGCCTGCGGTCACCAGGTCCCCAGTCTCCCTGAAACTTCGCAGCCTTCGCAGCCAGGAAGTGAAGCGTTACGAGCGGGAGAGAAGGAAGAACAAGTCCACCTACTGGATCACTCACGAGTTGCTCTGGCGGGACTTTGTTCGCTTCGGCAGTATCTATGCAGGCGATGGGAAAAGGGTCGGAGTTTTTCTTCAGCTCCTGGAGATGTTTGGGTTGGATTGACTTTCACATAACCAATAGCAGTTGGTACTTAATTGGAAACTTGCACTCCCGACAGGAATGGTCAATCATCCTTGCATGTCCGTGAATTTACGGTAGTTCTATGATTTATGTTCCCGAGTTTGACTAAGACCCCCCAATCGTTCCAGATTTTCTTTGGTATCTTAATGAGGCATCTATTTGATGAGAATCGGGTAATCCTTCCCCCCCAATATCAAAAAACCACTGGTTGGTGGTTTGGAACATGAATTTTATGACTTTCCATTCAGTTGGGAATGTCATCATCCGACTTTCCATTCAGTTGGGAATGGAATAATCATCCCAACTGACTTTCACTCCATCATTTTTAAGAGGGGTAGGGCTCAACCACCAACCAGAATATCAAAGAAACACCAATGGAAACCATGGTTAAGTAACGGATTGATTCATTTGGAGTCCCTGAATTGCCAAAGCCGTGGCTTGCTGAAAAAGGGTGGGTTTTTCGTCATTTTACAGGGGTAGGTTTCTCTAACCCCCTCAAGAAAATAGAAACAACTAAAATCTCATTTACCACCTTTATTTGAACTAGTTTTTTTCTGTATGGTACTTTTCTGCATCCTTTTGTGCCTCTACACCCAACTTCCTCAATGTTGCTGCCGAAACTCTGGCGAACTCAGGGACGTCCATCTTCCTCATCGGAGGTCCTCAGAACGTGCGGCCGAAGTGGTCCTGGTCCAGCGATCGCGAGCGCCTCAATAGGCGGGGAAAAAAACCGCTGGGGTTTCCAAAGTGATTTTCCAACAGTTGCTGATGGATTTGCTAAAGTGGATTATTAATAGGATAAATTGGAGATTACCCTCTGGTAAACGTTTACATAACTATGGAAAATCACAATTTTTAATGGGTAAATCAACTATAAATAACCATTTTCAATAGCAAACTGTTTGTTTACAAGAGGGTAATAGGATAATCCGGGATAATTAATAGCTTGGGATTATGACAAACTCGCTTGGGAGAATGAGATGATGAAAATTGGACAAAGGGACCATACGAATGTATTATGAGATAATGGACGTGAATGAAATTATGACTTCATACTTAACAGTCCTGGATTTGCTGAAGACGATGTTTTATTTTCCCCACGGGAAATCCACCATGACTGGGGAATCTATAATATATATATATATATACTATAGGGAACGAATATGTATATATATATATATGTATTTTTGCTTCCAGACCAACAACTCCAGGAATAGCAGTGATAAAAAAAGCTGCTGTTCGTCGACATTTTTTTTCGCTGAATGGTTGGTGACTGGTTGATGATTAGAGTTTTTTTGGCGACTGGTGCAACCATCATTTTTAAGGGGTTTGAACCAACATAGGTGGATGAATCATCGGTAAATGATGCTTGGCTCATGGTTTATTTGTTTGGTCATTAACCTCCTGTTGGTTGATGATCATGATTATGATTAGTTCTCTACTTGTTTTCATGTGCAACAAAGACTAATAGTATGGGGTTGAACATCTATCAAACATGTGGGGATATAGTTGATAAATGATGGTTGGAACCTGCTTAACTGGGTATTTAATTGAGTTTCTGGGGAGTTATCGGTCATGCACAGGCTTTTTTGAGCATCAAACATATGGGAAAGTAAATGATGGTGTTCAAGACCCTTGTTGATGATCATAGAGGTTATGATGGTGATACTACCCGATCTGTTGGTTATTATTAAGTGGCCGTGGCCCATGAGACCAGAACCCTTATCAACCAGCGTGATGGAAAGACAGAGGGTTTTGAACATTGCTCATATGGGGGTAGCCAAGAAATTCGGGAATAGACCCAGAATCTCATGAAATTCAGAGTTTCTAAGTAACCACGATTTTGGACACACCGATATGACAAAATTCGAGGGCATGGATATTTACCAGCAACCAAGTTGGGGTTCTTTGGCCAGGAAAATGGACATCTGTACCAACAAACATGATGATCTTTGCCAACAAACAGGAGCATATTTGCACCCACAGTGATCAAACGAAAGGTCACAGGCTGAAAAATAATCCCAACTGTGACAACCCCTGTAGCCAGCTGCATTCAGAAAGTGCCGCGTCTTGTTGCCAGGTGGATCGAGGGAGAGACGGGCTTCCCCTTCATTGATTGCTTCATGCGTGAGCTGAAAGCCACGGGCTACTGTAATCACATGGGCAGAGAGACCGCAGGCTGGTTCTTGATCGCAGACCTGGGTCTCGACTGGAGAATGGCCGCGGTGTGGTTTGAGTCCGTCCTGTAGCTTGGACTGAGATCGGAGGTGGTCCATATCCAATGTGGAAGGGAAACTCCATCATTTATAGATGACTTGATCGATATTTCTGTGTAAAACATGGGGAAATCCCATTTTGACTCTTCTCAGAGGGGAAGCTGTAAGAGCAACTGTGGATGTTGTGGACGCTTGTTTTCCCTCACCATACTCGTGGTTCACCCCAGGAATCGTAGGTGGGTTACAACCCCAGTTATGACCGGACTAACGCTACCTGCCTAGTGTAACTGGTGTCAGACTGGAGTGAACCAGCAAGTAGTGGAAGATGGTGAAAGGAGTGCTTCCATAACCATCGCTCTGACCATACTGCGGCTGTGTCTCAAAATTAGGACCCCCCAAAACCCCTGTGATATTTTGATATATTTTGAACATTTAAAAACCGCATTTTCCATGTTTCTCTACCATAACTTAGGGTCATGGTCATCCCCTTGTCCCATATATGGCTCCCAAGGATCGACTACGAACCCACCGCGAATTGGTACAACTGGACCTATCGCTGTCTCCCAGCTGCGTCCAAGGTGCCGATCGATCGCCTGAGCTCAGTGGAAATCCTGAAATGGGGTACGCAGCACGACCCGGATGCCACGTACATCAAGCGTCGCTTTTTCGCAGACCAAAGCATAGCGGCATAGCGCCAGATGCGGCGGGAGTCCAATGGGTCGAGAAAGGCATGTCTGAGCTTTTTTCTGAACAAATTCTAATGGGAAAATGAGGTTTTGAACCAACCAACTGTATATATATATATATATATATATATATAATACATACATATATAATATACATATAGTGTTATATTATATAGTGGAATTTTGGAGTACCCCATTTTTGGACAGACATTCGACTTGGGGGTCGTCCTTTTTTGGGTACAATTTTGAACCCGACCATGTTGGGGTGGTGCCCCCCCCAGCTATATTTGTGGGTTTGTTACCTCCATGAACTGAATATATACCCTCTGGTTATTTGTTACATAGCCATGGTATAGATGGCCCATTTATAGATGGTTTCCGTTCTTAAAAATGGTGATTTTCCATGGCTATGTTAAATAACCAGATGGTATATATATATATATATATATCAGATATACAGATATACCTACCATATGTCCTAGTAAATGAGGAGTTCTAAACCAACATCCGCTTTCTCGAACGGGGTGGTTTCAAAAAGTAGATCTGGGAAGGTTCACAAAGTGGGGACTGGGATGTCCTGTATTGATTGGTTTGTTGGGCTGACATGTACGTTGTGGCTGACATAAATGTAGCGACATATTTGAGATATGTGTATATTATGTAATGTGATGATATGTGTATAATATGTATATTACTATGAACATATTGATCCCGTTGTAGCCATGTATACAGATCATCCATTTCTTTGTTGGGCTGCTTTTCCACCTCATTTTTCTCTTTCCATTTGTTCAGCAACTTATCTGTTGTACATTTTTCTCTCCAAAAACCATGCCAAAGGATGATCCAACAGCAATGTTGTCGTACGACGTGGTGTGCCATTCCACGCGCATGCCATGTTGCCCGGAAATGAGGGTCCCGATATATCTTGGATGCCAAACATGGCGAACGGTTGTGGGTTTCCAGCTAGCCTGGATCCATCGCAGTCATCCAGAAGTTCGATGCCCCATGTGCGGCTTCCACACCCCAAACTGAAGATTGCTCAAGCTGGCTTTGTTCAGGGGAGATTTGCCCCCAATTTGTAGCAATGAACAAGTGGGAAACAACAGATACAGTATTGAATTTTGAGGTGGCCCTGGCGTGCTGACAAGAACGTAATGCCTCACAAATCGAACAGCATGCGTCAACGATTTTTTTCGAGTCTTTGGTTGGTACTATCCTATCCCAGTACGTTGTTGGAACAGATCTCTTGTAGATGGATGTGTACGTGTATATATATATATACACATACATATATACATAAACATAGGTATATAAGTATGTATATCTATGTATACATGGTGTGGCATGGCACAACGTTCAGGTTGGATCCCGTCACTGTCCTCCCTTCCCGGCACCGTGGCGCGGGAGCCCTGGCGCCTGGGCCTCAACGACAGCGACGGAGGAGTTGCCTCGGACGGGCTGCGGGCGCTGCCGAAATCGGGGCAGTTTAGCGTGTCGCAGGGGCCGCTGGAGGCGCTGTGTGTGTGTGTGTGTCCACAATAAGGAATGCTACAAGGAATAAACCATAGGAGAATGGTGATTTAACCAACAGATTCATGGGTTTATAAAGCAACAAACATCACTGGGGGGCACCACCTTGTATCATGTATATCTGGATGAATTATAAGAACCTCACTGTGATGCCACTGGAATGATGATTAGTAAGGGTTACAAGTCAGCCACATTAAATTATATAATATTCATTCATATATCCATGTAGTGACGATCAGTGATTTATTATTCTGAAATTGTATAATATGGCGTATTCTTCCAATATTGATGTCTATCAACCACTAGGGTATCAGCCAATTGGAACTTTACACGCGTAATGGTAATGATGCAATGCCATTCATTAGTATAGGTTATATACATACATACACACAATTTTTGCGTTGGACGCATATATGCTATATATACGTATATGGTAATCCGCCCCGGGTTTAAAGACACACCATGAAATTTCTGATCTATAGCAATTTGGCTTAAGTTGGTTGTATGCCTCCTCCCGGGTGCCCCCATTGTTGCGATAAGTGGCCTATCACTGGTGGAGGGGTGTGCACGGTGTGCCGGACATTGGACCGGCTGTCGGCCTTTTGCAGAGGGCCTCAATTGCCTGCGGCGGCCCAGGAGGGCATCCTGGTAAGACTCCGAACCTGGATAGGGGAGCTCCAGGACTACAGCGAGAACTACATCGGGGGTACCTCCTCCGCACCTCCGGGTGGAACAACCTCCACCTAGGTCGGCCGAAACCCCTAAAGAAGAGGAGATTGAGGGGGCGACGCCAAAAGCAGCAGGGCCACCACCCCCTCCACCAGCAGAGCCAGAGCCACCGAGGGCCATCCCGACGGAGGAGACCGAGCCAGAGCCGAAGGAAGCATCATCATCTTGGAGGAGCCGCCCAAAAGAGCCTGAAAAGAAGAGGAGCCGTTCACATTCTCGTCGAGCCCGAAAAAGATCCAGGAAGACCAGAAGCCCAAGGAGAAGCCCTGCTCGTTCACGGCGGCATTTGGCCAGCCCTGTGCGGCCCGGCGGGTCGGGGATTGAGAACCCCTGGGAGGACAACAGGGAGGAGCTGCCACGTCGAAAGGTACGTCCTCGGTCTCCCTCCTATAGCCCGCCTCGGGAGAGAGCTCGGGGAGCCACTCCTAGCTCACGGCCGGTAGGGACCCAGTGGAGAGGGCCCATCCGTGCCAGGCCCCGTGAGCCACCGCCTGGACAAGGACGCCATTTTCAGAAGAACAAGGGCGTCAGCAAGCGCAAGAGGAACAGGGAGTTTTGGCGAGGGGCCAGACCCCGAGGGAGGCGCAGGTAGATGCCTCCTAAGCTGCGGCGTCCAGCTGCTGCAAAGCCCAAAGCAGCTGGCAGGCGAAGAGTTGGGCGGAAGAGGCCAGGAGCGGCCGTAGAAGAGGACCCTGAGGGGGAGAAGGGTAGTGTGATTGATTGTGCTGCCCTCTCCTTGGAGCAATGTCGCGCTATGAAGGAGTTGGAAATTATCGATGGGAGTTACTGGGAAGCTCCTGTGAAAGCCGCCCTACGGGTGAAGGAGGTCAGGATGAGAGACGGGCAGCTTTACCTACAGGCTCAAGCCTTGGGTACTCAGAACGAAGACCTTTTGAAGTTGGCCACAGGACGACCCAACCAGACAGTGGAAGTGCACCTCTGCCCACGGGATTGTGCGGGGAGTCCCCACGAAGAGGGCCTACTACATGCCAGGAAGGTCCGTCTGTTGGGCCCGCATCGAGAGGGATGGATGAGCAACTTGGTGCCAGATGGGAACGCTGGCCCGCCAGAGGACGAGCTGGAGGAGTTGAGGAGAGACCGGGATCGGGTTGGCCGGAGGCCACAGCGGGAGGACGATCGAGGGGGCCACAGGGTCTCCGAGTCGCCTCCTCGGGACAAGCCCAAAGACAAGAAGAGGAGAAGCCGAAGCCGCCGCAGAAGATCCGACAGGTTGAAGCTCGAGGCCAAGAAGGACATCAAGGTGGTGCTGGGTTCTACGGGCGCCGACCCCGATCCCAAAGTGAGGAAGAGGTTCCGGCGAAAGGCCACCAAGCTGGCCCGCAGGAAGTCGAAGGAGTCCAAAGGGGAGTCCAGTGCAACGACGTCCGAGGACAGCAGTGTGGACTCCGGAGATCGGACGATCTTTGGGTCGGCCAATCGGGTGCACTCCATCGGTCGCAGATTACCGGGAGTCCTCCTGACCGCGGCGTTGGAAGAGGCTACCGACGCACTCGTCACCCACGAGGGGGGGGTTTACGATCCCCAGGAGGGCAGTCTCCCCCCTTTGTTCAGCAGGTACCACCGCCAGCAGCTGGCGACCCGGATGAGTCCGGCCATGGGTCGAGAAAGTCAGACGCTGTCCTACATGCTGGACTTGGGACTACGAGGCCGGGTGGTGGAGTGCCTGGATGTGGGGGCGCAACGGCTCAAAGCTTTAGAGATGATGATGGGGGGCGCACATTATACAGTAGCGCAGCAGATCGAGCTGTTGCCGAAGGAGGGCAGCAGCATGTCGACCGTGCCCGAGTTCACAGAGGCGTCGAAGAGAGCCCGCGAGGAGGGCCGCGCCAGACTCGAGGCAAGTCGCCCTTTTGGGACCCGGAGCACAGGGGCCGGTCGGTCCGAAGATTGGTCCAAAGGGTCAGGCAAGAAAGGAGGGCCGAAAGGCAAAGGCGGGAAGAACGAGGCTCGAAAAGGCGAAGGCGACAAGCAAGGAGATTCGAAGAAGACCAAGGGAGGATGAGGGGACCTCCTGGCGGCTTACAAGATGGTGAGGAGATGGTTCAAAAGGTTGGAGAGGATGAGGGGTCCCCTCAGTCAGTGGGGGGGACCTTGAAACAACGTGTGACCGGGGAAGGTAAGGGAGGGATGCCACTTCACGACTGGCAGCGCGTTCCTCCTGCGCCCCCTGGGGATGCGGAGTGCCCGAGAATTCAGGGGTGGGTCGCTGGTGGGGGGCCAATTCACGATTGGCAGCGCTCCTCTCCAGCGGAAGGCCCTCCTAGTTTCACGCAGAAGCCTGCGGCAGATGAGCGGGTTGAGGAGGCCAGTACAGGGCCTTGCAGACCGGCTGCAGCTGCCGTGAATTAACAGTCGGCTCCCTTCACGAAGTTGGAGGATGCGACGACTTATTTTACAGGTGGCAGCGCTGAAGCTGCTTTTTCTTTCAGTGGCCGCTTTTTCTCAGAACTGGGTGAACCTATTCTAAAATCCCTCCAGCAACTTACCTGGAATCGCACTTGCAAGACCATGCCCATGGCACAGGATGTTTTATTTCCTATGCCCCTGGGGGATTACCCTGGGGTTCACCCAGACAAAATGCCCTGGCTACATGCGATTCTTCTGGGCCTGAACTCTTTTTATGGAGTTGGCTGGACCTCCAACGCAGAGCCGACTGCGCTGCAAAAACAAGTGGCTGCTTCAGTGCTGGTTTATTTAGATCGGATGTGGGCCTGGACGGAGGTTATTCCGGTTTGTTCTTTTGGTGACCTGTTTCGGGTGAAGGGAGTAGATTACCGAGGGGAAGAGATTAAGCTGGCACGGTCGTTTTCTTGGCAAAGTATTGCAGCGGCTTTCCCCCCTGAGGTGGCTTCGTTGAGCATGGAAGATTTTTGTACTGGGGGCTGCCGGAGTTATTTAGGGGACTTTGAGAAGTTTTTACTGCCTGAGGACCAGCGACGCTTGGGGCGCCCACCACGAACCATGGTGGCGGATGCCGACTGGCCAGAGGTCTGCGCTGGGCTGCTCAGGATGGGTATTTGTGGCATACTCCCTCAACATGACCTTTTTCATGTAGGTGGACGGCCTATTCTCAATGGTCTATTTTCTGTCTCAAAGAATGAGTTTCAAGGATCCATCGAACTGCACAGATTGATCATGAATTTGGTCCCTCTTAATGCCATTTGCCTTCCGTTCAAGGGTGAAGTAAATACACTACCTACGGTTGCTGGGCTTAGTGCTTTCTACTTGGAGGACGGGCAGGTTGCTACCCTTGCTAGTGAAGACATCAAATGTTTTTACTATTTGTTTCGGATCCCTTTGTCATGGCAACCCTTTATGGGCTTTGCACGGGAGGTTCCCTCCTATCTGTGCCCTCCCGAGTGGAGGGGTGGACCTTGCCACCTGGTTTCCCGGGTTCTCCCAATGGGGTTTCTCAATTCGGTGGGCTTGGCCCAACATATCCACAGGAATGTGGTGCGTTGGAGCCGACTTCAAGCTCCTATGGGTGGGGGAGCAGAGCAGGAACTGCGCCGTGATAGGCCAGCCCCTTTGACCTCAGAGATGTTTCGAATCTACCTGGACAACTGGGATGAAATCCGTAAAGTTGATGGGGCGTTAGCCCAGGAAATCGAAGGTCAGCCATCCCCACAACAAGTTGCCCTTCGGAAGATGTATGCTGACCTGCAATTACCCCGGCACCCGAAAAAGAGCGTTCAAAGCGCCACCAAAGCTGAGATCCAGGGTGCCCTCCTGGATGGGGAGGAAGGGGTGGCCTATGCCAAGCCAGATAAAATCCTCAAGTATGTGGGGTTGGCGTTGCATCTGGTTCAGCGCGGGGCTGCGACACTTCGTGAGGTGCAGGTGGTAGCTGGTGGTTTAGTATACATTTCAATGTTTCGACGCTAGTTACTGGGGGGTTTGAATGCGGTATGGCACCACATCGAGTCCTTGAAAACGGAACCCCCTGTAGTACGCCGGCTGGTGCCACGGGAGGTAAAGGGAGAGATTATGCGGTTCCTCTCCTTGATACCCCTGGCTCAAATGGACTTCAGGCTTCGAATGGAACCCCAGGTCAGCGCGAGCGATGCGTCAACTACTGGTGGAGGCATCACCGCTTCAGTCGGCTTGACTAGCTATGGCTGCCATGCACAGGAAGCCCTGGTGCGGGGAGAGATAGAGGAGCCCTTTGACACAGTGGAGATCCTCACAATAGGACTTTTCGATGGCATCGGGGCTTTACGAGTAGCTTGCGAGGTACTCCACTTACCTGTAGCTGGCCACATCAGTGTAGAGTGCAACCCCGCCGCCAATCGGGTGGTGGAAGCTGCCTTTCCGGGAAGCCGTACGGTGTCCCGTATCCAGGACATTGACGAGACTATGGTGCGTAGCTGGGCTTGTGAGTACCCCTCAGTAGGGGTGGTCTTGGTTGGAGCCGGACCTCCTTGTCAGGACGTGAGTGGTCTCAATGTGGACCGGAAAGGTTCCCAGCATGGCACTCGGAGTTCCCTCTACAAGGAAGTGCCTAGAGTGGAGGACCTGGTCAAGAAGGAGTTTCCTTGGGCTCAAGTTCATTCACTGGTGGAAAGCGTTGCGTCCATGGACGAAAGAGACCGAGCTGCGATGTCGGCCGATTTGGAACGGCAACCACTGCGGGTAGATGCTGCGGGAGTGAGCTTAGCTAGGCGACCACGCCTTTATTGGCCCTCCTGGGAAGTGATGCCTGAAGAAGGGCTTACGCTTCACCCACCGGTGGGGGATGGGTGGGCCTCATATACCACGGTGGAGCTGACAGCCTCCATCAATGAGAAGGATTTCCTTCAGGCAGGTTGGTTTCTGGCACCGGGGGTCAAACTACCCACTTTCACTACCTCCCGACCATCACCCAAGCCGGGGCGCCGTCCTGCAGGACTTCACACTTGCGATGAAGCAACACTTGCTCGTTGGCGGCAAGACCAACATCGGTTTCCTCCTTACCAGTACAAGGCTGAGAACTGTATCCACCACAAGGTGCAGGGTGTACGGGTAGCCAATATCGCAGAGCGCGAGGCTATCCTGGGATTTCCTGTGACGTATACGGAGCAGTGTGTCCCCAAGCAGCAGCGCCAAGGGGCTTTTTGGGAGGACACTCGGAAGACCCTCCTGGGCAACACCTGGTCTGTCCCTGTGGTAGCCATCCTCATGAAGCAGCTATTCGAACGGCTGGGGGTCTGCCCCTATGTGTCCCTACAGGGCCTGGTGGATCGTTGTGCACCTGGCAAAGGAGAACGATTGCAGACCGTCCTTCAGCGCCCACCTCTTCGTCGTGATGTGGCCCTATGTCAGCCCGACACCGGCTTGGCCCGGCGGCTGGTTCACCTCGTCTCCATCAAAGGAGAGGACCTTATGCTGCAGGGGGCGTCTGAGCCCCTGGTTAAACATCAGCGCCTGCGCCAGACCGTGCCAGCACGACTCTGGAAGTGGCGCGAAGTGGCCGGCTGGCAACGGCAGTCCAAAGGGGACCACATCAATGTGTTGGAACTACGTGCGGTGCATACTTCGGTCAAGTGGATGATCCGGAAGCGTAAACTCTTCAACTGTCGGGTGATTCACCTAGTGGACAGTTTGGTGGTCCTCCACTCGTTGAGCCGAGGGCGAAGTTCGAGTCGCAAACTGCGGCGTACCCTGATGCGAATCAATGCCTTGTTGTTAGCGTGCAATCTCCATTGCGTGTGGACCTACGTTCACACGGCTCAAAACCCAGCCGACCGGCCTAGCCGGCGGCTCAAAGTGCGCAAATGGGGAAAAGTAAAAAGCATCTAGAAGGGCGCACGCAACAGCAAAGGCAAACAGTTCGCAAACAAATGGGTACGCTAAAAAGTTTGACTATACAACCTCGCACTCGTGCACGTTACGACAAAGCCAAACAGAGGTTTTATGCCTTCCTGGATGATAATGGCCTTGATCTCCCCGCTAAAAGGACCCAGTTAGATGGGCTTCTCTGCGACTACCTTGAAGAATTGTGGGCAAAAGGGGAGGGGCGTGCTCTTGCTTCGGATACGTTAGCTGCTTTACAGGATGCTAGTCCTCGTTTACGTGGGAGTATCCCGGGGGCTTGGCGCTTGTTACGTACGTGGCACGCCAATGAAATCCCTAATCGGGCTCCTCCTTTCCCAGAAAAGGTGGTCCAGAGCGTGGCTGGTTATTTTGTTTTCCACTCCAAACATGCTCTTGCTCTCTCAGTCCTGTTAGGCTTTTATGCTGTCCTACGCACAGGTGAACTGCTGGGGATCCGGAATAAGGATGTTACAGTGGACCTGCAATCTTCGACTGCCGTTATCTCGCTGGGTTTAACCAAGGGTGGTAAACGTTCAGGAGCGTCAGAGAGTACTACTGTAGCCGTCACAGAAGTGGTGCGTCGCTTAGCCCAATGGAAAAAATGTACTTCACCGGGTAGTCTGCTTTGCCCATCTCCTCAAGTGTGGAGAAAAGAATTTTCCCAAGCTCTTTCTGCGCTTTCTCTTGATTCCTGGGAATTCCGTCCATATTCCTTGAGAAGGGGAGGTGCTACTTTCTGGTTTGGGAAACATGGTTCTTTAGATCGCATCCTCCTGCAGGGGAGGTGGCTAGCCGCCCGTACGGCAAGAACTTATTTGAATGAGGGGCTGGCAGTTTTAGCTGAATTAAATATTCCTAATGCAGTGTTGCGGCCGTTTCACACCGTTTATCTCAATGCGCTGAGAACGCGACTTCCCAAGTGGTGAATAAAGTGCTAGAGTTTTGGCCAATTGCTTGAGCTTCCTCGTTCCGAGAAGGTTGGGGGGACGTGGAGGTTCCCGTTTTTCTTTCTGTTTTCTTGGAATTTTGATGTGATTTTGCCTAAGGAAGGCTCGGAGAGTAAGGAGTTGTTTTTGTTCTCCTTAAGTTACCTGTGCCTACTACCTCGGTTTTGCGAGGGACGTAGGGGGTTGCGGGGGGCAACCCTAGTCCTTTGGTTTTGCGAAGGGTTAGAGTTGTCGGGGCCCCTCTCTCTATTTGCAAGTTTGTGGTTTTCATTTTCTTTAATTTCTGACAAGATGGGTCTTGCTTGTGCTCAGAAAAGAAAGGGTGCTGTCTTTATATATATGTATATATATGTATATGTAAATATATATATATATTCATATCACGGATGGTAAGTGGTTCATAAGCCATTCGTATATGACATATCACATAAGGAATATCCGCATGCGGGTTACATACTTATGGTCAAACCACATCTGACTGGTATATACTGGCAAGCTGAGTATAACTAACTAACTAGCTTAAGTGTAGCCCCAAAAAAGTATGTACAGTATACTTTAACTACATTCGTATTAGTCATGTACATAAATACATGTAGAAACAAACTATGATTGTGGATATTTTTCATATACCCTCTGGTTATTTGTTACATAGCCATGGAAAATCTTCATTTTTTTTATAGCTAAACCATCTATTTCTATGGTCCATTTTCCATGGCTATGTAACAAATAACCACAAGGGTAACTCTGTTATTTCGTGTGGTGCATCCCTCCGGGGATGCAACGGGGCAGTGGCCCTGTGGGGATTCATACAGAAATGGCTGGTGGTTAACTGGCATGGGTCCATTGTCTCGTGGATGGACGACATCGCAAAGCATCAACCCGGCCTGGTAAACATACAAAAAGCGAACTGGAAAGATCCACCATTTTTTCATGGGAAAACGAACACTATATATCGACTGGGCCATGGCTTCAAGTTCGCAAACTGTTATATAGTTTACCAGAGGGTAATCCTGGTAATCCTTTGGGTGCAGAATTTTGACCTATACCCACGTTCCGGAATCTTTCGTGTCATCCATAGATGTCCTTTTCCCATTGGTTGGTTGATGAAAATAGAGGGGTTTAAAGAAACCCCTTTAACAACAGGTAAATGATGATAGATGGTATACCAAAGGGACAATGTTGGTGTCATCGTTGTACAAATCCGGAGATTACGCGAAGGCTATGCGAGGCTACAAAACACTGACAGGTTGAGGGAGCTGCAGAGGTAAGCTACTTGATGGCTACGCGGGGTAGTTCCTTTTCGCAAACAAGGAGAAAAAACGTGGGTCAAATGGGGCTTCTCCGTAGCAAAGGAACACAATGGACAGAGTTTTCTTGGACCGGCGAGCCGCAAGTCTTTGGTTTCCACAGAAAAGAGACGACTAATGACTTGGATGACCAAAATGGGTCCCCCATTTTAAGAAGCTCCTGTTCTTGTTGCTCAAATCTCAATTGTTGGTGGTTACATCACCATTTTTGCTACGTACCCGCATGTTTGCTCCTCAATTCCCAATTTTTGCTACTCAAGCACCATGTTTGCTGCCAACTCCCCTCATTTTGCTACTTAATTCCCCATTTGTGCGACTTAATCCCCCATTGGTGCGACTTACTCCCCATGTTTGCTGCTTAATCCCCATTGGTGGCGAGGCGTTGATATCTATGGGCTTTGATCAAAAAGATGCGGCCATGGCTTTGTACCAAACCTGGGAGGACGCTGACAAAATGGGGCAAAAAGATCGGTTTTATGAATTGAAGGAATCGCAGATTTTGATTCATACCATTTCATACCCATACTTATATATATATAATATTCGAATTGCTGTTTGGGATTCCTCAGAAAAGATAGATATCCAGTCAGTCCCTGGCGATTTAGCGGCATCGTTTGTTTTTTCTTTATGGCATCCTGGGAGATTTGGTCCAGGATGCGGATGCGGCTGCAGCCTTGCTACTGTCCCGGAACGGAGCTAGCGAGGCCAAGATGGACTCAGACGCCTGGAGAGATTAAGTTGGTAAACATAACATAGCAATACATAGCATACCCTCTGGTAATTCAGCATAGCTATTGAAATGGCCCATTTATAGATTATTTACCTATTAAGAATGGTGATTTTCAATTGCTATGGTTATATAAATTTGTTCCTTGAACTGTTTGTGTGAAAGCTTGAAAGCGTTTTTGACTGCCTGGGACTTTAGGCTCCAGTCTAAGGGGTTGGGGTATGAGTAGTTGTGCCAAGTGTCACCAGTGTCCAGCTGCTGAAGCTGACAGCTGGTGCCTTGGCTGCACAGCGTGGGAAGCTCTTCAAACTGAGCTGACCGCGCGGTGGCACACTCCGGCGGTGCGAGCCTTGGCCAACGACGCTGTGGTTAGCGCTGTGAAATTGGTCCGTGCGCTCCGCAACGTGTCGTCTGGCCTTAAGAGCGCTGGGGATTCCCAAGCTGCTCGGTCCCAACGCGAGGAAGGGAAGGCTGAGACCACTCGGGATCGTGCCCCCTTGCCGCGCAGTAGGGACTCCGAGGCCGCAGTCCGGGTGAAAGAGCCACCTCCGAGCTCAGAAGGCTCCCAGGACGAGAGTGAGGAAAGCTCTCATCAGCCAGGTCTTGCCGCTAAGAGCGACCCGGCCAGACGTCCACCAGAGCCGGCAGTTCCACCAAGATTGCCGCCCCCTCCAAAAAGGCCGCGTTCAGAGGAGAGAAGGCCCGCCAGGGAAGAAGGACGTGAGCACAGGACATCCCGTGAAGCAGAGCATCGAGAAGAAGGACATCATCAGCATCATCATTCGGAAGGTAAGAAGAAAGAGAAGAAGAAGTCAAAGAGGGGACACCGCGCTGGTAGGAACCACCAAAGGGCATACTGTGCGCTGGAAGACCCAAACATTCGCATCCATCGCAGGCCTCCGGGCCAATTCTGGGATCAGCCCGACAGGGTCCCAGATTTAGGTGGACGCCACTCTCATCGTTGAGGATGACAGAAGCAGAAGAAGTTTTTCAGGAGGCTGAGAACATTGACACTGATACATGGGACAGTTTAACCATTGTGCGGGGGCAGGTCGTCGAGGTGGAGATGGACGTCTCAGAGGACCCTGCAGAAGGCAGCGAGTGGGTTGGACTCCTAGTGCAAAGGGTACAGCTTGCCGTGTCAGGAGAGATGTTCCTGACAGTCCGGAGCTTGGGAAGCAACTCCAGTGCTCTGGCAAAATGGTGCTCCTCGGCGTTCAATCGTCGGCGAGGAACTTTGCACCTTTGCCCCCCCACGTGCTTGGGTGGGGCGGACTTCACTGCCCATACTGGGAAGATTCGTCTCTTCGAGTTCAACAACTTCCATCGCCCCTACCTCACTTCGGCAGTCAACAGGATGGTCAGGAAATGGGAAGCAGAGGTTTTCGAACCCGAGGAAAAGGGTGCAGACGACACTGCGCCAGATGGCATCGACATAACAGGCTTTCGCGACCCAGGGGCAGAGGGAGTTATTCCCCCTCCGGCTGGAGCTGGTCGTGGAAAGGAGACTGCTGGTCCCCGTCCAAAGACCGTGCCCCAGGTAAAACGGAAAGAACGAGAAGGAGAACCTGGCAAACGCGAGCCTACTCCGGCAATAGACAGGGAGAAGCTGAGGAGACGGTTGGAGGAGACCCGGGCGCGTCTTACAGGCACACCCCGTCCTGGTGGCGCTGGCAAACCGGCCGAGGCTGCACCGGATGGACCAGATGGCAAGGACGAAGCGGAGTCCTCCTCTCCGGGGTATTCTGCCTCTGTAGTGGAAGAACCCAATAGAGCCCTTCTCGTGGGCAACGAGTTGGGGGCGCTGGAGGATCATCGTCCGCGCAGCCCCCGAGAGGATGGTCCGCGAGAGGGCAGAGAGAAAGGCAAGAAGAAGAAGAGAAAGAAAGAGAAGGAGGCAGAAGACCTAGGAGGAGGCGTCCTGGCCAGGGCGGTTTTAAAAGGCACTTCTACAGGAGTCTTGCAGAGACAACTAGTGAAGAGAGCAGCAGAAGCAGCAGCGAAGAAACTCCCCAAGAGCAAGGGAAGCAAGACGAAGAATTCAAAGAAAGACATTCAGAAGCAGCTTCTACAGATCCTTACCTCCCAGAGGAAGAAGAAAAACAAGGAGAGGAAGAAGAAGAAGCGTCCCCCCGACGGCCCTGGAAGCTCAGGAGGGTCGGGGAGTTCGGGCTCTCAGACAGGGAGCTCGGAGAACAGCTCCGGGGAGCCTGGAGCCGGTTCCAGCGACTCGGAAAGTGCCAACCTCGACACTCCTCTCAAGAAGAGGTCGAAGGAGAAGCCCGGGAGCGTCTTGGCGATGCTTATCGACCACGCTCGCCAGAAACTGGACCAGACGTCGCAGGTGACCATCCAGCCGCACTTGAAGGACGACCCCACCAGGGGGATTCGCCTGAGCAGCTACTTCGCCATCGTGGTGCGCCCCCAGCTGGGCCCCATCAATGCTCAGGTAAGAGAGTTGCACCACTTGAGCAACGCCATCGATGCCCTGAGACAGGGGGACCTCGATCTACTCGGGGATCTCCTCGCGTCTCGATTCATGGCAATCCATCAATCGATGCTGGATGGCAATTGGACCTCAGCCAGGCACCTCGAGCTTCTCCCGCTGGAAGACAACTCGGCCGCCGGCAGTGGGATCCTGCTCGAAGCCCGGAAGTTCGCCAAGCTCTCGGCGAAGCTCCAGAATCAAGATTACTGGACGGCGAGCGGAACAGGCCGCGGAAAAGGAGGCAAGGGCAAAGCTGCTTCCTGGGGAGATTCACAATGGCAAGGCGGAGAACAGAAAGGAAAGACGAAAAAAGGAGGGAAAGGAAAAGGAAAGAACAAGGGAGGCTGGCAGGGCTATCAAGGAGGAAGCGCAGAAGGGGATGCCACAAAGCAGAAGGAGAAGATCCCCGAAAAGTGAGCCCTGCTCACGGCCTCACATCTCCCGCGCCGGCATCAGCCGTGCAGCTGGGGGAGCAAGGCCGCACAACTCTCGCGCTGGCATCTGCCATGCAGCTGGGAGTACAAGGTCTCACAACTTCCGGGTTTGCACCTTCCGTGCATCAGGGAGTACAAGCTATGGGAGGAGTTGCACCTTCCCAGCAGATGAGTTTTCTGGACTCGCTGGCTCAGTGCGATTGTTTCAAGCGCACAGGAGTCGTGTTGTGCTGGTGGGTCTTGGCTGGGGTAGCTCTTCCCGTGCTGGACAGTATCACCAGTGAGATTAGGGACAGCTGGTTGAAACCGTGTTCCGTCCCAACATCACTGAATCGCGGGCGTGCCCGTGGTTCGACTTTCCCCATCCGGGAGGGAGATTTGGGGGATTTTGCATGTGTTTTTAGAAGCCTGAGCTTTGAAGCCGCGGTTACAAGCGAGCGAGTCGAGGCTCATTGGGCAGACGCATGGCTCTACTTGGCCCTTCGGAGCCTTAACGGCCTCTATGGGACCGCGGCTGGATTGGATCCGGGCCGCTGGACACTTAGTGAGCGCCGAGCGGCTTCCTCAGTGAGGGCTGCCGTTCTCCGAAAAGGAGAGGCGGATATCGCCGCGTCACCTATGACTGCTGAGTCATGGCAAAATGAAATGAAGGGGCGCCAGGTAGGATACAATGGGGAGGAGATCACCACATGTCACAGCTTGACCTGGGAGCAGGTTATTCCTTCTCTCCCCCCAGAGACGCATGGAGGTTGTATTGAAGCTGTTGATTGGGTTAATACTAGAACCAGGGAATTTTTGCTGAACCCCAAACTGCTTTTGAAAGACCCAGCTGAAGTTCAGCTACCGAAGATGCCAGGGAGAATTCATATTGATCCTGCTGATAGAGTTAGGATTGCTCAAGAATTGGTGCGGCGCAACATTTGTGATTGGATCCCATTATCTCAGGTGTATCAGGTGGGGTCTACTCCTATTTTAAATGGATTATTTGGTGTTGCAAAGCCTACACTTCTGGAAAATCGACTTCCTGTACTGCGCTTAATCATGAACTTGGTGGGGTCAAATGCAACACAGCTTCAACTTACCGGGGGAACTTCAACATTGCCCAGTATCACGTCCTGGCAGAGCATTGTGGTTGACCAAGGGGAGCATTTAGAGATGAACCAATCAGATATGTCAAGTGCATTCTATCTGTTCAAATTGCCTGCAATTTGGAAACGATATCTCACCTTTAACGTGGTGGTGAAACCCGATGAAGTAGGCTGTTCTGGTTCAGAGCTTCTTGCATTGGCCTGTACGGTTATTCCAATGGGTTGGTTATCCAGCGTAGGTATCATGCAAGAGATCTCCGAGAATATCCTTAAAGCTCATCAATTGGACCCCAGAAATCAAGTAGTGCGAGGACGTGCTCTTCCCCCCTGGTTTTCAGACATTTTAGACCATGCATTTGTACAAGATCGTCATTGGTGGCATGTATATTTGGATAACTTCTGCACAGGGGAACGTATTGATCCATTGAAGCCCTCAGTTCGAGGGCGTTTGTGCCATGCTGCTGCCGAGCGAGCGTGGGAGAGCGCTGGTGTTCTCTCTTCTGAAAAGAAGCGTGTGTCGGCAGCAACCAGGGCGGTTGAGCTTGGAGCAGAGATTGATGGGACATTAGCTACCCTTGGAGTTTCCACTGAGAAGCTGGTGAAGGTGATTCAAGCTACTTTATGGCTGTGCTGTCAGAGGCTGATCAGTAGAAAAAATTTGCAGATTATCGCTGGCAGATGGGTCTTTATTCTTCAATTTCGGCGACCTGGCATGGCCTTTTTGGAAAAGACGTGGGTTTTCATTGGGGGGAAACAAAAGATCACTCAGAAGTTGAGACAACAAGTCCGAGCTGAGCTCCTGACGCTGATTGGGGCGTCCCCTTTACTTCACTGCTTCTTGGGGGGCAAGGTTAGCAATCAGGTTCTGGTGTCAGATGCTTCCGAAAAAGGAGGTGCAGTGGCATTTGCGGATGAGCTCACTGATGAGGGGAGAGACTTTCTGCAAGCCTCTCAAAAAATTGAAAGGTTCGGTGGCATCTTTCACCTTCCAATCCTGGTGATTAGTTTATTCAACGGGATTGGCGGGTGTTTTCGTTGCTATGACATTGCAGGTGTATGCCCAAGGGGGCGGATTGCTGTTGAACTGGACCCTGGAGCTAACAGGGTGACTTTGCGAAGGTGGCCAGGTACGTTGATTGTGAATGACATCCGGTCAGTGACACGAAGCGTAGTACGTGAGTGGAGCTTGACTTATTTAAATATTGAAGAAGTACATTTGTGGGGTGGCTTTCCATGCACTGACCTATCCGCAGTTAAGTTCAACCGCAAAAACCTGGCTGGCTCACAAAGTTCTTTGTACTGGGAAATCCCTAGGGTTGAGAAGCTGGTGTCTGAAGAGTTTGGGCCCTCTGTGAAAATCAAAAAGGTGCTGGAGAATGTGGCATCAATGGACAGGTCTGCTGCGGAGGAGATCACACAGGATTTTGGCTTTTTGCCTTATAAACTGGATTGCAGCCAAGCCGTACCCATGCGTCGGCCTAGATTTGCGTGGACAACAGAGCGACTGGAAGGCCTTTTGCCTGATGTACATGTCTCTGCTGGAGCTTATTTTAAAGAAGTCATTGCAGAAGCTGAATATCCTGAGGCAAAGCAATGGATTACACCGGGCTTTACCTGGGAAGGAGAGGCAACCGGTGCTATTTTTCCTACAGCCATGAAAGCCATTCCTCGAGACCATCCACCACCTCGTCCGGCAGGGCTGGAAAAATGTGATTGGGAGTGCAGACAAAGGTGGTTTGATGATTTTTACCGGTACCCCCCATATCAATATAGGGAGGAATTCCTTATCACAACTGCTACCACGTGGCGACTTTTGTCGGCTGATGAAAAAGAGTTACTTTTGGGATACGGTTTTAAACATACTTCAGTGGCCTGGTCAGCTTCAAAACAAAAGGTAAATCAGACAGCATACAGTGATGCCCGACACAGCTACCTGGGTGACTCCTTCAGCATCTACTCCTTCGTTTTATCAGCAGTGGCATGTTGTCGTGATTTTATTCCTTCTGTCCCTTATCAGTTGCTGGTTAAAAGAATGGGGATTTGTCCTGGTTTTCTGGCTCATTTTCGTAGCGTTGCCCCCTTGCAAAGAAGGTTGAGCTATGGTTCTGTGGAAATCCAAGGGGAGTTGTTTAACAAAGGTGTTGAATGGTTTAATCGCTTGCTGCTTCGACGTACAAACCACACGGGTTCGGATATTCGCGTGATATCTGGAGATATTATGAACGCAAAGTGTTTCCCTCGACAGTCAGTTTCTGCTCAGTGGTGGAAGTGGCAACCCCTTTTTAATCATAGATGGAAAACACGTAGTCACATCAACGTGCTGGAAATGGAGACTATTCTTTGGGGGGTCAGACAGCAAATTAACAGGTTCAAAGCAGGGGATGCTCGCATTTTTCAACTCACTGACTCTTACGTTTCAATGAGCGTTATTAGTAAAGGGAGAAGCAGTAGCAATCAACTTCAGAGGGTGGTACGGAGAATTAACGCTGAACTTCTTGCCCATGGCCTGCAGCTAATCCTGGCCCACGTCGAATCAACTGAGAACCCCACTGATGAGGGTTCCAGGTTGTGATGGTAGCCTACGTCCTCGCTGGGCGATGCAGCCGTGCTGAGAGACAACATAAACGTAAGGCTATCCAATTAGATGACGCCGCCTTGACGGAGAAGACTCAGAAAAGATACTATTTAGCCCTTCAAAAACTTTTGCCTCATGTGGAAAAAGCTCTACATGTCCATGACCTTGACTTTTACGTCAGTAACTGGGTTAGGCTTATGTGGACTTCAGGTGAGCCCATGTTGACTGTGGGCGATGGCTTGTCAGCCTTACACTTCTTCGAAGCATGGACCAAAGGGAAGGTGCCGCAGGCATGGAAGCTTTTCAAGGTGTGGCGCAGGATTGAGATCCCCTCGCGCGCACCTCCACTTACAAAACAACTTGTATGGTCAATGGCTTCCTTTGAACTTGCGCATGATCACCTGGAGATGGCCGCTTTGTTATTGCTATCATTCCACTGTCTACTCAGAACTGGCGAAGCGTTGAAGATCGCCCCAAATGATCTGATCCTTGGAAAAGACTCTGGCATCTGTGCTTTAAAAGATACAAAGTCAGGGAAACGCAATAGTGCTAATGAAGCCATCAGCATTACAGATCCTGTTGTCTTAGACACTTTGGCCGCTGTTTGCTCCGTGAAAAACCAGTTTCACCTAGAAATGCATCCCATTTGGTCTAGCAGCCCTGCTGCCTTCAGAAATAGATTCCGTAAACTCTGCACCATCTATGGACTCCAGCATCACAGTTTTAGACCTTACAGCTTAAGACGTGGTGGTGCAACATATTTCTTTCAGAAGCGTAGAAGCATGGATGAGGCGTTACTTCGCGGAAGGTGGGAATCTTCGCGAGTAGCCAAAACTTATATCATGGATGCTTTGAGTTATCTTCCTTCTATTCGGAGGACACCCTTGACTACCAAAATGCTGCAAGAATTTCATTTTTGAATGCAACGCGTTGCACGACGCTTTGCTTGGGTGCGTGGATAGAAGGCTCAGCAGCTGAAAAATTTTTCTTCGTGCTTGCTGAAAAGCCCTCAACCAGGAGGAACTATACATCCCATCCAGGGGATTTTTGTTTGCATGAATACCTCACCCAGGAGGTTGAGATAAATATGAAAGAAAATGGGTTAGGCCCATAACATATGTGGCGAGACCCGTGTCTCACGAGCAACGCCTTCGATGTTGGGCGGAAAAAGAGCGAAGAGCTTGAGCACAAATTTGTTCCTTGAACTGTTTGTGTGAAAGCTTGAAAGCGTTTTTGACTGCCTGGGACTTTAGGCTCCAGTCTAAGGGCCCTCCCAGCCCGTCCCTGGAGTCTTTGGATAGAAGGCTCAGCAGCTGAAAAAAATTTCCGTGCTTGCTGATCCAGGGGATTTTTGTTTGCATGAATACCTCACCCAGGAGGTTGAGATAAATATGAAAGAAAATGGGTTAGGCCCATAACATATGTGGCGAGACCCGTGTCTCACGAGCAACGCCTTCGATGTTGGGCGGAAAAAGAGCGAAGAGCTTGAGCACAAATTTGTTCCTTGAACTGTTTGTGTGAAAGCTTGAAAGCGTTTTTGACTGCCTGGGACTTTAGGCTCCAGTCTAAGGGCCCTCCCAGCCCGTCCCTGGAGTCTTTGGATAGAAGGCTCAGCAGCTGAAAAAAATTTCTTCGTGCTTGCTGAAAAGCCCTCAACCAGGAGGAACTATACATCCCATCCAGGGGATTTTTGTTTGCATGAATACCTCACCCAGGAGGTTGAGATAAATATGAAAGAAAATGGGTTAGGCCCATAACATATGTGGCGAGACCCGTGTCTCACGAGCAACGCCTTCGATGTTGGGCGGAAAAAGAGCGAAGAGCTTGAGCACAAACTATAGTAATACAACTATCTCAAACCAAGGCATGGTTTATATCAAACTACTTGGAGGTTTCCTAAGTCATGGGGGTACCCCTAAATCTTTCCGTTTTAATAGGAATTTCCATTATACACCATCCATTTTTTGGTACCTTCCCAGAGCCCAGGACGATGACGACTTGGCGCGTGCCGTGGCTCTGTCGCTGGGCGAAAACCCCGAGGCGTCCGGGCCGGTGTCGCCACCGTGTCTTGGACGGTGAAACATGGGGGTTGAAAACCAGAATTCACCATGGATCAAAGGGATTTGAATTAATTATGTGTAAACCACATAATATACATTTTTGGACAACCGGCACCCGGCACACGGCACCCGGCAACCGGCACCCGGCACCGACAAAAACAGTACATACTGTACTGGTAAACCAGCAAAGGATGGGTTTTCTTGCGGGGTTCAACCATGTTCAACCAGCAAAATCAGGGAAGAGACCCTCGAAAATCCCATGGTTTGACATATCTCCTGAGATCTGAATTCCCTTTGTTTGGCTCAATCCTTGAGGTCAACCATCAGTTTCACCATTGAACTCCTGTTTTGGTAATCTCTTGTTGGTATTTGTTGGTGAAATCCTCATTTTGATGGCTGGTTATATAAATGTTATATAAATGTGTTTCTTTAACCCCCATTTGCTCCTATCTTGCTGTAGCACTCCTCCCGATCAGATTCCTCACATTTGCTGCAAGCGCCACCCAAGGCAGCAGGGTTTTCGCTATGGCGTGGACTATCCCAAACCTATGATTCAGCCAGTCTCTCGCTTGCCAGTTGGGGTGAGATGAAGGTCATTTTCGGATGACAGTCTGTTGGGGGAGAGTGGAGTATGAAAAAGCTCGGGACACATCCTGAATCCCAATGCTTTTGGAATTTGTTCAACTTTCTGAGTGCAAAGGGCTTGCATCACACCTCCAAGTTACGAGGATTGGTTCTCTCAAAATCATGGCCCAAAATTCATGCTGCTGCCTCCAAAGTATCCCAAAGTGGGGTTGTCTGAAACTTTGGGAAAAGCCATAATTCCACTGGATTTTGCCATCATTTTGGATCAATATCAAAGCCAAGTCATGGTGAACTCCTGGAGCTAAGCCGAGCCAGGTGTCACTGATGAACACCGAGCAAGCCGAGGACGAGGCGCGGCAACATCAGAGTCGCAGGGATCAGCAGATCGCAGCCTCCAAGAGGCAGAAAGGCAGCAGCTCGGCGGCGAGGACGTCTGGGATGGCGAGTCAGCTGTAGCCATGGAAAAATTGGAGATTACCCGGCCTGGTAAACTAACAAAAAACTATGGAACATCACCATTTTTCATAGGTAAATCAACTATCAATGGGCCATTTTCAATAGCTATGTTAGTTTAAAGGTAACGTGAAAGACTCCGAAGAAGCGCAGATGTTGTGAACATTTTCCGTTTCGTTCTGAGCCAACTTTGAGGGGGAAGCCAAGTTTGACCCATACTCATTGTGGGTAGACATGAGAAGATGTGCTGTAGTTGCTCAGATGAATCTGCGGGAGTTTCAAAGCATTGAAATGCTGACACAATGGATGAGATTTCTGCATGGTGCCGGTAGTCCGAATGACCGACAATCAAATAGGAGTGGTCATGGCTCTGGTACCCTTCGGTTCAAACCCAGGCATCACCTATGACTTATGACGATGCAGCTATATCATGTGTATATACTATAAATTATACGCATAGATGTATATCTATATCTATAACCATATCCATCTCTATCTCTGTCTATCTGTTTGTCTATCTATCTATTTGTCTGTCTATCTATCTATCAATCTATCTATCTATCTATGATGTATGCACATTTCGGATTTCCCAACTCAGGTGGTGGGCAGAGTTTTCAGAAACCCAACTAGGAACAGGTGGGAAAATGCTGGTGCTGGTAAGGGGAATTACTTCAAAAAAAAAGCCTTGCGAGAATGGGAATAATCCATGAGAATATCCTGGGAAGATAGTTCCCAAAATTCTTGCCACTTTGGAAAGTGTTGGAGTTATAATTTGCCCAGACAATGCATGTGCACTTGGCCCCCTGGAGAGGCCAGAAGAGAATGGCCTGCGGAAACTCCCACGGCGGCAAGGCCCCAAAACCGCCGCGGCGGCTACGAAGGAAGTGGGAGGAATTGGAATCGAAGTGCCTTGGACAATAGATGGGTTACCGGCTTTGCTCCACCGGTGATCACAATTGGTGCTTGGCTGATGTTGGCTGCTTCTGACAGAGTGTTGTTCCCAAATCAAACTTTATGGTTTGGTTTGCTCGAGAACATCCATAGAACAACCAAGTTTTTCTCACCATGAAATCTAGGCTTTGTGATGTGAACAAAATGTTTCCATGTGATCCACCAATAGCATGAAACACCAGATATATTGGGATCCTCAACCTCAGATTTTCTGTGAATTCCTGGACACGGAGAACACCCTGGGCTTCGTATAGCTAAAGGCGCTCCTTGCAGTTGTGACGAAGACACATTTCCTTCTCCCCCTTGGTCGGTTAACCGTGCTTAACCTGAAAATAGCCGCTATAGCCGCAGATGTTGAGTCACCTGCCTTCTTTTCCTACAGGTGCCACGAGCACCAAAGCTGAGAACGACCGCAGCGAGCGCACTCAGAACGGTCGCAGATGGGGAAATCGTGCCATGGGTGGTTAGACCGATGTAGTTGGCAAAATGTTTGGCCCATGTTCCCATGGAGACCGACGTTGATACCCTTGAAACAAAAGGCAAAAATAGATGCGAATTTATGTCTCTGTCTATCCATCTATCTGCAAATGTATACATACGTATATAATATATACATATATACATATATACATATATACATATACATATATACATATATACATATATACATATATACATATATACATATATAAATATACATATACATATATACATATATACATATATACATATATACATATATACATATATACATATAGACATATATACATATATACATATATACATATATACATATATACATATATACATATATACATATATACATATATACATATATACATATATACATATATACATATATACATATATACATATATACATATACACATATATACACATATACATATATACATATATACATATATTCAAATATACATATTTACATTTATACATTTATACATATATACATATATACATATATACATATATACGTATATACGTATATACATATATACATTTATACATATATACATATATACATATATACATATATACAAATATACATATATACAAATTTACATATATACATATATACATATATACATATATACATATATACGTATATACGTATATACATATATACATATATACATATATACATATATACATATATACATATATACATATATACATATATACACATATATGTAGAATACATGTATCATGTTGTTTGCAGCAGAGAGCATAACAATGGCACTGCAATCACAGTTCATAATCCCATTATTTACAATGCTTCATTGTTACCAAAAGTTACCACTTGGTGCAGGATTTTGTCCTTCCACAACATATATATATATATATATGTATATATATATACACGTACATACATATGTCACATACCATGTTGACGGATTTTGGGTTCAACCTATGATGGTTTGTCCCATGAATAGAGGTGCCCAAAGTTGTTTGTTTTTTCCCCTCAAGTTGGCAAGGCTAAACGATTCTTAGTCTCAGGGTATCATCATTTTTTTAAAATCAATGTTTGAACATGATCATGTCCTGAAAATAGATGTTGAAGTTGCTTGGGGTAGAGACAAATGCGGCAGATACTTGTTGCTTCTCTCCTAGGGCAAGGAAAACGGTTGCCCTTCGTACGTTTCTAAACAGGGAAGCCGTTAAACAGTTTGCATCAAGGCCTCCGCTTTGACTAATGGCATCTCTCTTTCGCTGTGTGTAGGGCAACTCCCACAACATGCAATGCCAGAGCTGGTCTATGCTCTGCTGGAAGCAGGATTTGTTTTTTGAAAACAGTAAGTCTAAAAAAGGTAGTTCATCTGAATAATCTTGAGGTTGCATCTCAGCCAACCTGACCATAAGTTCAGTCACTGTGCCAGACACTGTCAGTTGGACTCTGCTGTTGCGGAGAATGCTTGTGGCACACTTTACATGGATATTTTATTTGGCAACAACCCTCTCAGAATAAGATGATTGGAACAAATGGAAAAACATCAGGAAACCCTATACAATACTCAACCTTCCAGCAACTCATGATCAGTCGGTAGGTTTTCGGATGCCCCGTTTTCGCCGAAGCGTCGCACGCGACGCGAACTTTTAACCGGCTTCCGACAAGAAAAACAGTCGAGACAAAGGCGCTTTGCTGATGGGATTTGCAGATGGATATCCTCTGGTAATCAAACGTGGCAATGGACCTTCCCATTCCATGCAGCCAATTCATCTGAAAAGTGGATATTGCATGTACATTTACATGTGCACGAGTATGTACATTATATGATATATATATATATTATATATATATATATGTATAATATAGATACATTATATATACACACATTTACATATATATATATATATGTATATACATATACACACAGGCAAGTCATCGCACGCCTGGCGCATTTCTTTCGTGCTTTCGTCGAAGGTGGAAGACCTGCAGCGTGGCACCGTGCTGCCCTTTGCGCACGGGAAGCAGCTGCCCATGGAGGACCGATGGAGATGGGGTAAAACAATGCCATAAACCATCCCCAGTCATCACCATTTTTATAGGTGGTAGTTTTGCTATTCCCATTTTTGCGTGGTTTATGATATTGTTTTTCCCACATTATATCGAACCAATAACTAATGGTTAATGATGCTAATGGGCTTATAAAGCAACTTAATACCTAGGGGGCCACACCACATTGCAAGGGTTTAGATGTAGGTCAAGTAACTATAGTAACAATGATGGTTTCATGTGTTTAGATATATAAAATACATCGAACTCAATAGCTGGGGGGGCACCGCAGTATGACATATTGTAACTATGAGAAATCTTGGATTTGCATTGCTAAGTCGATGATCAAAGGCTTATGAATTCCCAATGGGAAATTCACTACGACTGGGGTATCGATTAAGGGAAGGTTTTTTGTTTTTTTTGGGAATTAGGGGCTAGCAAATCCAAGTATGATGACATTTCCACATATTTTTTGAACCGTGTTACCCAATTATGATGATGATGATGATGGTGATGATGATGATGATGATTATGATGATGTTGTCGTTGTCGTTGTCGTTGTCGTCGTCGTCATCATCACCACCACCATCATCATAGTATTCATGGGGATAATAATGGTTTGTAAACCAACAGACAGAACTGGGGGGCCCCATCCTGTACATCTTCATGACGCTACTTGGCCAGGACCTTCATCGTTTTGGAGCGGGAACTGCAGAACCAGGTAGCAAAAATCCATGGCTGCTACGGAACATCACCAATTTGATGGGGAATAAAAGGTGCCACAATTCCTTTGAAAGTTTCCGGATCTTGGATGATTAGGGCCACAATTGATGATTCTTTGCTTCTTTTTCACCAGATTCCAGGCTTAATATGTATAATATATATATATATATGTAATTATATATATATATTAGAGGATACTCTAACATTCCTTTTAATTCACCTCTTTCAGAGAAAGGTTCATGAATCCTGAATGATTCCTCTACTTCAAGTCTAGGCTTAGTACTGATACAGTACACATATATATATATATATAGAATATTTCGCACCCATCTCCTTCCCATTGATTCCTCTATTATTCTGGCATTATAGTGGGGAAGTACGGCTCATATATGCTTACATAAATCCCATATATCATCCCATAAATCCCAGGAATTTTCATTCAAATCCCACTATTACTCCCATCCCTCGTTCATACTGTGGATTTGTCAGAAATCCTGCACCAGTTGGTAACTATTGGGAACTATAAAACAGTGTAAATCATGGGATGACAATGGGATGTTTACCATCTAACTGGTGATTCGGATTTCCTCCATCCACAGTAGCATAACATATTAAACACCCATAATTACTAGGTGGTTTAATCCCCCTATTGGTTTAATCACACTATTACTTAAATAATTCCAATGGTTTCATTACTCCCATCCCCCGTTCATATTAAACACCCATAAATCCCCTGGTTTTTTCTGGGATCAATCCACATCACTTGACCCTGGAACCTGGAGGTCACGGCACTGGCCCCTCGGCTGCCTCTGTTTCGAACACCGAAGAGCTGGCGGCCATCAAGGTGGCATGGCGACATCAAAATTTAGAGGGCCACCATGATGGGATTTTATAAAGGTGAATTCATGGTATTTGTTGGTATTTTATTGGGACGTTAGTGACGTTGGATATTACATGTGATAACTGCCCCCCCCCAGTGATGTGAACGTTGGTTTAGATTCGCCCCAGTAACTAGTTCGTTATTTGCGCACCATGTTTACCATAGTGAAATTGGAGTTATAAACGCACCAACTGAACGCTATCGTGGCCGGGGGCCTCACTTGGCTGGGGGCCTAATCAAACTTGGCTGGGAAATCCGTGTGGCGCGGGAGGGTTTGTGTTTGTTGGTATAAAAAAACACTCCATGAACTAGTTCTACCTAATCTAATCCAATCTAATCCAATCTAATCTATAATCTAATCTAAATCTAATCTAATGAAATCTATCTATCTATCTATCTATCTATCTACCTACCGTAAACCAAACGATGAAGCTACTTAATTATGACTTAGCTAAGTATGAGGCACCACATTATAACATTGCAGGGGATGAACGCATCCAGAACTAGCTATAACTAGGCATATAGATAGATGGATAGATGTCTAGATGAACAGATTAACAGCAACCTTCCAGATACATATAAATATGATTAAATATGTATACATATGCATTTTGCAAAAACACTGTGCAATATATGATATAGCCTGATGTATCCATGATATATCATGATATGTCCATCTATCCATCTATGATAAAACAAACATAGGAAGGCAAACATCTCGCACAGAATCGTTTTTTCCTTTCCCTTTTTGAGAAGATTGCAGCAGGGTGCCACCTTCAGTGCGATTCCGGCCACATGGAGGGTTTGTTTGTCGATTCAGGACATTTCCAAGACATTCCAAGAACCAATTCTTGGCTTTTCCCCAACAAACCGCTATTTGATGCTGTTTTTTTCTACATTTGAGTCGACACAACCTGCAACACCAGGTGAAAAAAACATGCAGAACATCACCAAACCGACCGAGGTATGAACAAAAACACTCAAAATGCTAACTCGTGTAACTTCTAAACATCTTTTTTGGCCTGTAAGCTATAAGTTCGATAAATCATGTTATACATCGATATCTTAGGCATATCTTTGACATGAGTTATCCAACTTATAAGATAAGTTAACCCCACCTATAATCTAAGTTAGCCTTACTCAGAGCTCAACTTATAACTCGGGGGCACCACCTTGTAGGCTGTGAGTTCCTTGGGAAGGCGCAAGACATTTTTTTTTGTATTTGAGCCAACTCCGAATTCCCACGTGGCGCGTCGAGTGATGATTGATGGACACTTGTGGGCAATGCAGTGGATTTACCAACAGCTGTCGCGACTGCTCCTCAGCACGGGGTTTTGGGTTTATGTTTGCGGACGGTCCTCTCCGCCTGGGTTTGGGAAGGAGAATTGTGGCAACAAATAGACCGCCATCCTGAACCGGGAATATTTGCGGTTCCTGGAAGGCGAACCACAGCTCGGCAGGGGTAGGTCAACCGCCAACCAGGACATGTCAGCAAGGGACACCTTGGCAGAGCGCATGTGAACCACAAAGACCTCAAACAAAACAATGCTTTCCATAACCAGGAGTACGTAACGCCAGAGAATCGAGCACATCAAAAAGTGCCAATCGGAATGTCAATCAACAGTGCTGCAGAAGCATTGGCAGTGAATCCCGGAGGAATTTCAAAACTGATGGGAAGAGTCGGCAAAGTGGTGTGTACGAGTTTCGTTTGCTAGAATAAGCAGGCGCAACATCACTTCTTGGTGAATGGAGCGACATGGACACATCACTGATAGATTTCTGAACCTGGCCTGATTTTATCAGAGGTCGACGAATGGACGGGTTGTCGGTTGTCCACGGTTCTGAAAGAGAAGCTTAAGCAACAAAGAAATTGCTGAAAACCAGAGGGGGCGCAGCATTTTTCCCAAGATGTTTAAGTGATTCTCTATTCGTTTGCTTGTTCCACGGGTAGGTGTTGGATGGTGTTGGTTCAGGGCACGATCCAACTGGAAGACGGTCGAAATTCTCAAAACATCATAAAACAACTATATTGATCTATCTTGGGGATTC